CTTGCTTCAAAACAAGATACTAGGGTCAGGGATCAAAGATCAAAGACCGGTCGCATGTAGCGACAGGTAAAACTGAAGAACAGTTCTCTGTTTCATCCCTTAGCTGTAAACACAGACAGAAGTGTTGGCGGTACTCCCCCTCCTCCAACTGCTCCCGTTCAAGCCCGTTAATCGCAGAGCCCAAACAAGGCCTGGAATAACGCTGGGTGAAGAATCGGCTAAAACGAGGGGAGGGAGGAGGGGGAAGAAGTACCGCCAGTCCAACTCAGGTGAAAAAACTCATTTACGGGTAGGGTTGCCCAGCAGTTACTCAAGCCCACGACAAGGGGGGGGGGGGAATGAAGGCCGGTAAAATACATGCAACTCCCCGGATCACCCACGGTTCAATGCAAAGCGGCACACAGCCCGTCTGTACACGTACCACACGTCCCCCCCTCCCCTTCCAACCTTTCCACGAAACTGCAACCACACGTCCCCATCTTGTCAACCACATCCACGACCGTATACCACACGGACTGCAAATTCCTGGCGTGACAAAAATCCCGCCTCAGCACCGTTTGAGAGTGATTCTCCCTGGATCACCGGGCTATTTGTTGCAGCACTCTGGGATACAGTATCCATGTGCAGTACGGGGAGGAACCCGTTTTTGACTACTTGCGGGTTATTACGTGAAAAACTGCAACACTGGGTGGTTACTTGTATCAGCTGCGGTTACACGAGCATTGTTGACATATTACCTGTAATCTAATTTTTTCGTGATTGCTTAGACTGAGTGCGACGATGACCCACCGATACAAGTATAACACACAACAAATGCACAAGTACTGCACTCAGAAACGGTCGTTACTTGTATAAGTGGGCGGGCACTGATGGGAAGTGTGCGTTACTCAAGCATTACACAAGCAACACTGGGTGCTAACTTGGGTCAGCTGTGATGGCATGTTACCTGTAATCTGATTTTTTGGTGTGTCTTTTACAAATGCCCTACGTGGTAAGGTTATGATAGATTGCACAGCAAGTTTGTCGTAAAACACAGTAAAACGTAGATGGATTACATTCAGCATATATAAAACATAAGCGTCCCGCCCAAGTTCCCAGCAAAAGATATTTGTGGCGAAGTGGTGATTTCGCTTACTGAACAAGCTGTGGAACTGAAACTTTGCAAGGATATTCGGTATTCACGTGTGGTCTAAATTCGATTTGAAGGCTAAATCCCCCGCACACGGACAAGGTAAATACTCAGCTTTACCGCAAACTCAAAAGCGCGAGTGCATTTTGCGGATTCTCTGATTGCCCAGTGGGATCTAAACGAGCATCCCCCTTCCACCTCTCTACCTCCCCTGCGTCCCGTCCGCTTCGTTGACTGCACGTCAAGCCCAGTTCTAGTAGTAGCCCAAAAATCGTCCTCCAAACTCAGAAGAGCATCGTCTGGCAATTTGCCAGAGGTTAGTTTTAGCAATTCGATTAAAAGAAACTGGTTTGTCTGTATACGTCCGGTTGGTAGTTTCGGGATTTTTGATGGACCTTTGTTGCAGAAGTTTTATTTACTGTACTATTCTCCTATTATCAAACTGCGGTTTTGTAAATTGGGGCAACGCAACTTAGTGCGAGGTGTATCGTGAACGGAGCCCTTTCTCGAAAATTGTTCTGGATCGGGAGGGAATCGACCATTCCTCTTCACGTCCGGACGCATTGTGTTACCGCTATACCACCGGTCCTTGTGATTCAGGTTCAGCCTGGCAGCACATCTACTGTATACCTGCTTTTCAAGACAAGACACCCCGTTCCTTTCATTCCTCTTTTCTTCTTTGTGGCGGCTTCTTAACCGGCTTTTCGCAGGTTTTTCTCGACAAGGTGTTTCTCGTGCCCTGGGTGATGGGAGGCAAATTGTGATGATCAGAAGATTCGGAATTTTTGGGCAAACCGGCGGGTGATTGCTATAATTTGGAAAATTAGGGATTTTCTCTCGGAAAAAATAAAATGTTTAATACTGGAATACGAAGTTTTGTTCCGAAGTGAGCTCAAAAACACCCTGTAGAAGTTCAGCAAACAAATCAGCTGGTAGAAGAAACTATAATTGCTAAATTTTAGCCCCAATAACACCAAGAAT